GAAACTAAAAATTCTTTTAAATGCGTTTTCGATGCCTTTTATATATTTTTTTATAAATTTAAATTAAATGATAATTATTAAGATAATAAAAGAATAATATGTGGGCAAGATAATACATTACCATATATTTAATGACATATAAAAAGATTAAGAAATAAAAATTAGATTTATCGATTAGATATCGTGGATTACAGAGGAAAGGGAAATTATATCAAACTTATTTTTATTATCGCTGCGAGCAAAAATACATGTATTGATATTGATTGATTGTATAAAATTTGATCATTGATATTGTTTTTGCATTATTTGATTATTTGGGATATTTTTCGATCGAATATCATTCAAGAAAGTGCGATTTTTGCAATCTCCATCCAAACGTTATGTTACGTTATTATTACTGTGGTATATTTCTGTGCAATTTATAGAAAAAAAAGAGTAAAAGCTTGTTGCAATATCTCGATCTGTGTCCTGTAATAGAATGTTGCCATACGGAGTACGTATGTACATATGCATGGTACACTATAATAAGATATCACAAAAAAAGAATAGATGAAATAGGTCGTTTTGCAGTTATATCGGCGATTCGCGTTACTACTTATTCAAAACTTGAACTGACACGCTGATTTTCTAACGATGGAATCGAGATGAATTACAGATGTACAAAATGAAGTGACTCGAATTAAATGACTTTTCAGGTAAGAGGTGAACGGTATGTGTACGTATTATCAGCATGTGGGGAGTGTGTCAGTATCAATTGTAGACTTTTAAACCGTCGAACTTTAATAATGTTCCATTATCCATGCTCTTCAAGTACATCGCATTCGCGGAAATTACGGCAATCAATTATGCACAATTCGAATCGAACGTATTTCCAGTCAAGGGACTCGCTTATTTCCCCGTCTTTCCCTCCTATCCCCATACGAAGCCGCCGCCCTTTTCACTCGCAGCGCATTTTACGATAATCGCTGAAATGCATCCCCATTTTCGTTTTTCTTGTTGTCTACTTCCCTCTCGCTGCACGAAGCTGCCTCTCTCTCTTTCTCTCTCTCTCTCTCTCTCTCTCTCTCTCTCTCTCTCTCTCTCGCTTGCGTAGATTATAGTTAGCATCTACATCGCCCAAGTAGCAATAAACGTCGCTCGCACCTTTACGGATGGCGAAAACTTTCCTTCCATTTGTTTTCCCCTATGCTCCGACCTATCGGCGCGACAGCATGCATTATTTCTAAGTGTCTCTCCCTTGTTGCATTAACGACTGATTGTACTACCCCCGATTCATTATGTAAACATCGCGATCGATGAGGGAGGATAGCGTTTGTTTCGCGTATGTGTACCAGCATTTTCCTTTTCTCGCCGCCTGAAGCTAGTAAATGTCTAAATGTGCGCCTCGCGTGCCGGCGAGCTGTCGAAAGGGAGCGCTTATTCGGATGTTCGTCAATACCCCAGAACTGCTAATATTTCTCCGTACTTGTCGATACCCCGCCGTTTTGCGAAGGAAAAGAGAGGCATGAAGTCACATCGAGGTGTGCGAGGGATTTTAATACGAAGGCAACCCTTCCTCCCCTCCCCCTATTATTGCAAGAACCGTTTGAGACTTTATGATTATCGCAATAATTTATGGCGACGAGATCGGCGCCTGATGCGCCTCGTTCTATTTCGATGCCTTGAGTCTCAATTCGAGCCTAAATCTCAAGAATTTATTATCGTCGGGATGAATAGATCTGATACATATTACAAATACCTACGGTATTAGTAACGGCGAAGTGAATACTTCAGGTAGCACTTTAGGAAGCCGTCGTTAATAGCAGGTGATTAAGTACCTATAGTTAGGAGTTAATTCGTAAAACTTATATTCATGATTCACGATGTCATAAAAGGCAAGCTTTACTACCTTGGATCGTACTTTAATCTTCCACTTTATTTTATTCGATTCCGTCAGTTAAGCATACGACAATGATGAATTTACTTGAGACGTTTACTGAAAAATCACATTTCAAATTCACACCGTAGCATTTTATCTGGAAAATTCGTGACGATATGTCGCGGATAAAATTAGCAGGATGATGGTTACAAAATTCCTTTCGAAATATCGTTCAACAAAATTAAATAGCGATTAAATTAAATGGCCTTATTTAATACGATGTGGTTTCTGGTAAAAATTGCTTTGTCGAAAAATTCGTTGCTCGTCGAAGTGCCCTGCGTACAGCTCGAGCTTCATGGATTTTCAAGTTTCTTTGCTCGCGCGGTGTGCACCAAAGTACCGATGTTATCCAAAGAACGTCCGTTCGTCCATTAGACGAGAAGTCGTGTCGTTATATAAAATAACTGTTAATCGAGGAAAGATCCGCGAGCGCTATTTACGACGAGTGCGACATTTCCGGAAATTATAGCGGCGCTAAATATTCGCATTACGTGACTTTGCTAACGCTCCGTTCGTTTATTAAAAATACGATTTACATGTACGCAGTCGCTCCTTTTCACACACACACACACACACACACACACACACACACACACACACACACACACACACACACACACACGACGTACG